CCCCCTTCCCCCAATGGAGAATAGCAACCAGATGGCGGGGGAGGAAGGGTTGGTTATATATATTTTTTAAAATTTAATTTGTTTTACTTTTTTATTTTATTATTTTTTTCACTTTTTAAATTTGTATTTTTTTATTATCTTTTACTTTTTTTATTTTATTATTTTTTTACTTTTTATCAATTACATGTTTTTCATTTTTATGTATTTATTTATTTTTCTCTTTATTGCCATCACACAGAAGCTAACAAGCAAGCATTTGGAGGTGACCGGTTCTCTTTATTGAACCTGTCACCTCCAATACTGGAGTTTGAGCACAGCACTGTGCTGGCTCTCCTGTGACAACTGAGAGGGGAAGGCTGCGAGTGCAGCCAGGGCCGGATTTACTCTCTCTGCTGCCCCAAGGCCAGGTTCCTCAATGCGCCCCCCTACCTGCCAAAAAGGACCCCCAATGGAGAATGTCAGACCTGCAGGTTGTATACAAAACAAGCGGCGGCTTTCCCGTTATACATTTAGCCCTGCTTGCCGAAAGCAGTGCTAAATATAGAAAACAACTACCCGCCCAGTACCCGGAACTAAATGCCCCAGGCATCGGGAGATAGGAATCCCACACCCCTGCTGCCCCTCTACTCCCTGCTGCCCCAAGACCGGGCCTCGGTTGGCCTTGTGGGAAATCCGGCCCTGAGTGCAGCTCTCCCGTCTCAGTGTTCACTTGGAGCAGAGCGGAGAACGGATGTTCCCCGCTCTGCTCACCACTCTCCATCCTGAACTATCTTGCCGTGGTCCCATAGAAGAGTGAGGGACCCCAAAAACCACAGCGGGGAGGGAGGCGGCCGGCGGAGAGAGGCAGCCGGAGGTGGGGACGGACCATGGAGGGGGGGGGCGATGGGGGAGGATGGGCGAGCAGGCTAATTACAAGAGATCACTTGTACAAAACGAGCTGCAGCTTCACCTCTCTAGATTTAGCTCGGCTTGTCCGAAGTAGGGCTAAATGTAGAAAAAAATTACCCGCCCGGCGCTCAGTCCTGCGTGTCCCGGGCGTCAGGCGATAGGAATTACACACCCCTGCTGCACCTCTACTCCCTGCTGCCCCTCGGTGGTAGGGTTGCCACCTTTTCTTCCAGTGAAACCCGAACACTCTAGCCACGCACGGAAATTTTGTGGGGAGAATGAGTCGCGGCGTATTCATATGTAAATAGCATCACCCATTCATATGTAAATATCACAGTCAAGCCTATTTTCTGGGGGGAGCAGTAGCCCCTATCTTAATTTTGGTTGACCCTGTCTGCATGACATCTTGTGTCCGGGTTTCAGCTGCCATTAAACCCGGACACAGCACTCAAAACCCGGATTGTCTGGATGAATCCTGGACAGGTGGCAACCCTACTCGGTGGCCATGTGGTAAATCCGGCCCTGGTCTCACCATAGCTGGAGGTTGCCTACCCCCGGTGGAAAGTCTTCCCTCTGCCGCCTGGACGTGTCGGCGTCAAGTATACCCGTTCTATATACCTTGAATCCAGCAATTGCCCCGCACTGCAGGTCGGACTCGATATTACCCGGGTCCAGGTAGGCGATACTCATCAGGAATCCAGGGCCGGTAAATGCCCAGAGCTTGCGGAAGCTGAAGCCGGGCTGTGCGGGAATAAAATAAGTGAAATCATAAAAAAAAAAGAATTACTGATCGCAGATATAAATAATAAGTCACCATCTCGTGGAGTCATCTCGAAGTACTGATGGGGTGGTCATAATAATCTGGCCACTCAGTGTAGAGGAAGCTTCTTCCAGTATCTGGAGTTCTAGGCAGTGATGAGACTGAAGAGTTACTTCTCCTTCCTTATCACATGCTGGGAACTAACTGATCATTTCCCAGCCGTTGGCATGAATTATAATCAGCAAATCATAAATCAACATTTCTCACTTTCTTATCTCTCCTTCCTTCTAATTTTCTGCTCTTGGGACTGTGATTGTAAAATGTCCAATGGAAAGTGAAGGCAGAACTGGGTCCTCAGTGAAGTTTGGGCCCCATTGCAGTTGCATACAGAGGAGGAGAAGAATACTAAGACAGGGGGCTGTGATGTTTTCAGGAAGCTTTGTGCTGGCTCCTCCCACCAAGTCAAATAGTGCCCACCTTATTTCCTGGTAGGAGGATGTCCAGCGTCATCTAGCCTATTTCTTCCCCAGCCTGGCTGTCCCTGGCCCGCCCCTTTCATTCATTGGCTTTCAATTATTTCCGTTATGGAGGCTCAGCATCACATGTGGGTATTTCCTAGGGCGGTCTGCATGCAAATATAGCCTGCCTAGGAATGCCAACTCCTCCAGACTGACACCCACTTAGTGGCGGAACTATCGCCATAGCGACCCAGATGGCTGCTATGGGGCGCAGTGGGGCCCGGCCAGGACGAGAAACCAAGGAGTCCCCCTGATGCCGTGCGGGCCGCCTGGTTTGCTATGGCATCGCAGGCTGCTGGCTGTCACTGGTGGATGTGATGAGGAAAGCGCCGCTGTCCAGATCACTGACAAGCTGTCAGTGATCTGTGCCGCGGCGCGTTTCTTCTCACAGCCGATACCGAGTCAGTGACAGCCAACAGTTGCGATGGAGGAGGCTGGGGCCCGGTGGCAGCAGCCGCGGAGGAGGAGGCAGGCCCGCCGGCGACTGAGGAGGAAGCGGGGCCCGGTGATGGAGGAGGCTGACAGCGGATCTGGATCGAGGCTGACAGGTAAGATGTGTGCAGGCGTGTGACCAGCCCACCTAAGACCCTGCAGAGCCCACCATAGAGAGTCTATCGTGGGTTCTGCAGGTTCACTCTCAGGTGGGCTCTGTAAGGGGCATAACTAGCAATCACGGGGGCCCCATACAACATTTTGCTATGAGGCCCTGTGATTTCTAGTTACGCCCCTGCTCTCACTCATCAAGGCATTTGATCATCTAGCTTCTAGCTTGCAAATGCACTGGACTGTACCTGAAAGCCCATTTTAAGCTAAAAAAAAAATGTGTCAAAAACGCACTGTACCGTGTTTGCAGATCTGATACATGGACATGGTCTGCACAATTGCTCTTGAGAGGAGTACTGAGGCACAGTGCTGTGATGTTCTCAGGAAGTTATGTACAGCTATTACTTCTGCTATAAAATATGTATTTCTATTACTTTGGTTGTTCTTTTATAACACATATATCTGGCATCAGCAGCCTGGAATACTTGGATTTTGTGACACAGAGGGGCCAGGATGTCTCCAATAATCACAAAGGACTCTGTTACAATGTTTCCCAAGGCAGTGCGGTCACATGGGGATAATGTAACCTCAGGAACATGGTGGGGGTAACATGCCGGGCCATCCAGAGATCACCATTCCGAGAGTTCAGATTCCTATGTATTAATGTCAGGCCTGTCTTTAATATTGATCGGACCCTGGGCAAACATTTTCTTGGGCCCGTAAATTACAAACAATCATGTCTCTGTTAAGTCTGATTATCTAATCATGTTAATTATGTCTAATCATGGCTTTCTACTATCATGCATTGTAATTCTATCAATCATGTTATTCACATATATATGAAGGACAGAACAGAAATGGAGTGAGCTTTTCAGGGAGATATACAAATTGTATATCTCCTTTATATTTCTCCTTTTTTATTTTCTCACCTACCTGGCTCAGTCAGTCCTCGCCTCGTGCCAGTCTGCCTCTTTCCGGATGTCCTGGACGTGAGTGAGGCCCCCGTCCGCACAGCCTCACGTCCTCCAGGGAAGCCCGTGACATGTCACGCTATGGGGGCGGGGGCGGGGGGAGGAGCTACCTTTAGGATGCGATCGTGCAGATCGCATAGGACAATACGTTATGGCATTGCCGTATGCGGCCGCTGCCATAACGTATTATACTATGCGATCCGATCGGCAATTTTCTGCCGGCAGCAGGCTCAAGGGGCAGATGCTTCGGGCCCCACAACCTTTATTGGGCCCGGGGCAAGTGCCCTCTTTGCCCTGCGTTAAAGATGGCCCTGATTAATGTACAGACGTGGAGTCAGCAATGTGTTATCACTAGAATTTCACCCAGATCTGCCTAAAGGGGGCGGTCCATCCAAAACTGATTCTTTTAGCGTCTGGTGGACGGGAGTTAAAACCCCTTGACAGTTTCTTCAGTCTCTGTGCTGAGTTCCCGGGTCTATACACCTGCTGTGCCCATTATGAGGGGTTCCCACCATCCCTGCGCTGAGTTACAGGGTCCCAACCTCTGAGGGGTTCCCTGTGCTGAGTTCCCGGGTCTGTATTGCTGTGTCTATCCTGGGAGCTATCTAGGGTTGCCACCTGTCCAGGATTCACCCGGACAGTCCAGGTTTTGAATGCTGTGTCCGGGTTTCATGGCAGCTGAAACCCGGAACACAAGATGTCAGGCAGACAGGGACAACCAAAATTAAGATAGAGGCTACTAACCCCCCCTGAAAATAATCTCACCTGTGATATTTACATATAATAATGGGTGGCGCTATTTACATATGAATACGCCACCACTCATTCTCCTAAAAAGATTTTCCGTCAGTCGCTACAGTGTTCGGGTTTCGCTGGAAGAAAAGGTGGCAACCCTAGAGCTATCACTATACCAGAGCTATGTTCTGGGGTTTGTAAACCTGCCGTGCCGATTATGAGGAGCTCCCACCATCCTTGTGCCTAGTTCCCGGGTCTGTACAACTGCTGTGTCTATCCTGAGAGCTCCTACTATCCCAGAGCTATGTTCTGGGGTTTGTACACCTGTTGTGCCCATTACGAGGACCTCCCACCATATCTGCTCTGAGTTCCTGGTTCTGTACACATCCTGTGGCCATTACAGGGTTCTCACCATCTCTGACCTGAGTTCCCTATGCTGTGCTTTGAGCCCCCATTCAGAATTAAATTCCATGCCTGTGTATAATACAGGTAATTCTGATGCTCCCCCACATGGGGTCCCCCCAGGCAAGCTCTCCAGCAATCTATTTGTCACTTTAACTTGACACAGCACTATGCCTCCGGCATGGCAGGGCACTTGGGTGTGCAGAGCCATTTGATAAAATGCACCAAGCACGGTGGAGCTTTCCCAATGACACAGACTGACAGCTCCGTTATAAGACATGTTAAACCATTGATAGCGTCTGTAATCTACTGTATATAAACAAGTACAGAACAATAAAAATAACAACAATAATAATAATATAATATAATAACAACAATAATAATATAATAATAATAATAATAATAATAATATCATTTTGCATTTTTTGTGTTTTGTAATCATTTGGGAATTAGCCGAATATCACATTTATTTGATGTCGGGGTGTTCGAGGGTTGCTCTGTATATATCAGATACGATGATTATGCTTACTCTGTCTGTGGTTGGAACAGGAATCTTCTCATCCAGGTAAGTTCTCTCTTTGTCATCCTTGTGATTTGTAATGGAGCCATATCCCCGATTCCGGGCTGGTTGGTAATCTATAACAAAACAACATTTTTCTTTTTACATCATAGAGAATAAAGGCGAGCCTTAAAACTAGACTCTAGCCAAAAATCATAAGTTAAAAACTAAAAATAACTAATTAACAGATAAAATAACAGAACCAACTTTGCTGCAATGTTCTGCTTCAATCCAGAGATTTCCCCTGCAGTAATTTTTCTCCGCCACTAGATGCCCCCAGTCTGATGGAAAGTGACATTCAACCCACTTCCACTGAGCCTAGGGATGCACCGATACCAGTATCGGTATTGGTGAGATGCCGAGTATTTGGTGAAGGACTCATACTCACCCAAATGCTCTGATGCCTAGCCCGATACCTGAGCTTCTGGTATCAGGAAGCCGGGCTGCCAGTCATTACACGCTGCCCGGCTTCCTGATTGGAAGGAAGCCGCCTCCATGCTCCCTCATCACTATGTAATGACTTGGAGATCTCCCTCTGACCGGCAGTGCTGAGGGAGCATGGAGCCGGCTTGCTTTCCAATTAGGAAGCCGGGCGGCGGGTTATGACCTGCCCCCCAGGCTTCCTGACTAGCTAGGAAGCTGGCTTCACTTGTTGCTAGGCAGCCTGGCTTCCTAACCAATCAGGAAGCCGGGCAGTGGGTCATGAGGTGCAACAAGTGAAGCAGTCTTCTTAGCTAATAAGGAAGCTGGGAGGCAGTTTATGACGTGCTACCTGGCTTCCTGATTGGCTAGGAAGCCGGCTTCACTTGGTGCTAGACAGCCTGGCTTCCTGACCAATCACCTCATGACCCACCTCATGACCCAGACAATCAGGAAACCGGTAGTGGGTCATGATCCACCGTTCTGACTTCCTGATAATCGGGACACACGGCACCGGTATTCGGTATTGGCGAGTACGGAAAAAAAATATCGCTACTCGTACTCGACACCGAACAAACTGTATCAGTGCATCCCTAAATACAGTATATACAGTATATATATATGGCTTCTCCTGTGTAGGTATAGAATTGCAATCGGATTGTTAATGTATATTGATAAGGTTTTGTACTTTGAGCAGATTACAATCCTGGAAGCATGCACACACAAAAGCTTTCCTCTATATGCTGTACGACCTATGACCTGCCTGGGAATTACACAAGGATGACACCAATGTGTATGTAATGTGACTAATAGACTCTGACCGATGAGAATTAGGCAAGCAAGGAAATACAAGTCACATTGTCATCTCTACAAGACTCTGTATCAGGTGACGCTTACAACATCAGCGGGTCAGAATAACAGCCAACTAATACAAATATGTGGCGTCATCATAACCACAGGCTCAGAGATTACAAGGTCTTCACAAGAGGCGCATAGAATCGCTGCAACTGCATCTGCGTTATCAGTTAATTTTTATTTTTGTTACTATTATTACAAAGGTGATGTACTGTATGGGCAAATGTTTGTGGATACCGACCTGATGGTTGCACTTGTTGGGCATTCTATTCCATAACCAGGGGCATTGATATGGAATTAGTTCTTCTCAAAGGCTATAACAACCTCCACCCTTTCAGGAAGGCTTTCCACATGATTTTGGAGTGTGTTTTCGGGAATTTGTGCCCATTCAACCAAAAGAGCATTTGTGAGGTTATTTACTGATGTTGGAAGAGAAGACATGGCTTGCAATTGGTTTTCCAATTAATCCCAAAGGTGTTCAGTAGGGTTGAGGTTAGGGTTCTGGCAGGTTCCTCCACACCCAGCAAACCATATCTTTATGGAGCTGGTGCTGATGTTGGGCAAGAAGACCTGGCTCACAATTGGTGTTCCAGTCCTTCATAAAGATGTCCAGTAGGGTTGAGGTCAGGGCTCTATGCAGGCCACTCAGGTTCCTCCACAACGAACTCATCAAACCATATCTTCATGGAGCTGAAGCTGATGTTGAGCAAGAAGACTTGGCTCACAATTGGTGTTCCAGTCCTTCATAAAGGTGTTCAGTAGGGTTGAGGTCAAGGCTCACTTGGAATCCTCCACACCAAACCCATCAAACCATGTCTTCATGGAGCTGGCTTTGTACACAGGGGCACAGTCATTATCCTATACCCCTGGGGAATAGGATAACTATGCGCATTTCTAGTTAAGACAATGATCTGTCGCAATTCCCGAAGCAATGTACTAATATCAACCTGTCAAGTAACTACAGGCCACGCAAACAGCCAAAAAATTTGAAACTATTTACAAAACTCTCCTAATATCCATGTTCTGCAGGCCTGTTTGGATAATGTCATGTAATTACAGACTGGGAACATGTAGCATGACTGTCCTGAATTGGACTAGAGCGGCTGAGTCATTGTGGCTGGATGACAACGTGACAATCCCTGTTGCCAAAATTTTTAAAAAGTAGATTTTTTTTTCTTACTGTCCCTATCCAGTGGCTTAGGAGCCACATGTGACCCTCGCGTACCAAACTCACTTTCCTATTTTGTGGCAACTAGGGATGCACCGATACTAGTATTGGTATCAGCACTGATACCGAGTATTTGAGCGAGTACTCGTACTCGCCCAAATGCTCCGATACATTCCCCTATGCCGGAACTTCCGGTCAGAGGAAGATTTCCTCTGACCAGCAGTGCCGTAGGGAAACGTTGAGCCGGCATCCCGGGCAATCAGGAAGCCGGGTGGCGAGTTATGGCCCGCCTCCCGACTTCCTGATTGGCTGGGAAGCCGGCTCCATGCTGATTGGCAGGGAAGCCAACTCCCCGGCCAATCAGCATCAGGCCAGCTGAACAGCCGGCTCCTTTCAGCATCGAGACGGCCAAACAGCTGTTGTCATTATCTGCTGCCTGGCTTCCTGATTGCCTGGGAAGCCGGCTCCATGCCAGCGGAAGCACCGGCATCGGTACGCGGTATCGGTGAGTACCGAAAGCAAAATATCGGTACTCGTACTCGATACCAAAAACCGGTATCAGTGCATCCCTAGTGGCAAACTTGTTAGGTGCTTGGTACTTGTCCAAATGAAACCTCTGCTATTGGAGATTAAGCAGGTGATGAACTTTTCTAGGGTTCTCTTTAAGGAGGTTAATGAGGGACAGCAAAGCAAAGCACGCTGCAGTCATTGTTCCAGTAATCTGACAGCCGCGGGTGCTACCTGTCAGAATACAATAACCCAACAGGGGAGATTCCTCAATCCATGCTGTTAAGGTGGATGTGGAAATTAAGTTGTATGGATAGCTTTACAGGGGGGAGCATTAGGAATCAAGGATTATGTAACAATGATAGAACTCAGCACTAGAATAGTCTGCAGTCTAGGAGCCCATTTTTTTTACACAGTGCATTTGGTCACTACATAGCCTCATAGGGTTGAGTCACCATGACCAACATATAAATAGTGCACATCTGGGAAAAACAGGAATTGTGCAACTCGTTTCTGAAAACTTCAACCAACGTGCTGCATGACTCATTGAGGCCAGGCTCACACTTGGGCGATCGTGCACGAAACTGCACGGATCAGCGCTGGTGGTGCCATTCTTTTCTAATAGCACCCCAGTCGTGGCAGGCGGATTGCGTGGTTTACCGCTGCGATTCCACACGTGCAACCTCACACGATCGCGGCAGAACAAAACGTGTGGTGCGTGTTGTGAAAAAGGGTACTTGTACCTTTTTTCAGCGATTGCCGCGGGTACAGTGGCGTAACAATCGCCATAGCGACCCAGGCGGCCGCTATGGGGTCCGGGGCACAGGGGGGCCCAGCCAGGACATCCCCCTGATGTCATGCGGGCCGCCTGGGTCACTATGGCATCTCAGGCTGCTGGCTGTCACTGGCGGGTGTGAGGAGGAACTGTCAGTGATCTGTGCAGCAGCGCGTTCCTCCTTACAGCCGTTGCTGCGTCAGTGACAGCCAGCAGCTGTTGAGGAGGAAGGTTGGGCCCGGCGTCAGAAGCGGAGGAGGAGGCGGGCCTGACGATGGAAGAGGAGGCGGGGCCTGGCGACAGAGGAGGTGGGGCCTGCCAGCGACCATGGAGGCAGACAGCGGATCGGGGCTGACAGGTAAGAGGTTCGCAGTCCACCTGAGACCCTGCAGAGCCCACCATAGAGAGTCTATGGCGGGCTCTGCAGGGTCACTCTCAGGTGGGCTGTTTGGGATCTCAGGTGGGCTGTGCAAGGGCATAACAGGGCCCCTTTGAAAATTTTGCTATGGGGCCCTGTGATTTCTAGTTACGCCCCTGCGCAGCAATATATAACTCCATTGAGACGCACGTCCAGGGATCGCCCAAGTGTGCACCTGGCCTCACACATTGGGCAATGGGCAATACAATGGGACGAGAGACGGGAGCTCTACTGGAATGAGTGACATGGAGAGGACAGCTGCATTGTCTGTGTCTATGAGACGATCGACGTATAAGACCCCGTTCACATTGAGCGATTTATCGCGCGGTAATTCCCGCGATATCGCGGCAAATTACCGCGTGATATCGCGCTCCAATGCAATCCAATGGGGCAAAGGGTCCTGCTGTCGCGGGTCGTGTGTCGCTACAGCAGGACCCTTTTTGGAGCGGATTTAGCCGCGATTCAAGCTTGCTCAATGCAAGCTTGAACGCGACATCGATTTGCATATCGCGCAGTGGGAACGGGGCCTTAGGATTATGTCATCTCAGTGATGCCTCACAATTATTTCATATATAAAATAGACAAGTAGGAGAGATGTCTGTGGCCCTTGGTCTTATCTATATATACTCTACCCACGTGGCCCCCTTGGTTTGGGGGAGGATCCCCTCACTGCTAGTTGTAGGTTAGCTGTCATAGATGCCATGAAAATACCTGCGATCCTGATGAAGCATTCTGCGAAACGCATTGTTACTATAAGGCCTCATTCACACGAGTAACAGCCGGCCCGTACAGATCCATGCTGCGTGCACGGCCGCATCGGGGCCGCTCCCGAGAAGGACAGGTACTGCTTGTGATTTGTACGCAGCAGCCTGTTCTTCTCTATGGGAGTATGCGGACGTACGCCCCCGTACGCTCACCCGACCTGCATGCCCGTGTGGGTGTCCCTGCTGGGGTTGCCACCTTCTCTTCAAGCGAAACCCGAACACTCTAGCGACGCGCGAACATTTTTTGGGCAGAATGAGTCGCGGCTTATTCATATGTAAATATCAGAGTTGAGACTATTTTCGGTGGGGGGGCCAGTAGTCCCTATCTTAATTTTGGTTGCCCCTGTCTGCCTGACATCTAGTGTTCGGTTTCTGCTGCCATGAAACCCGGACACAGCATTCAAAACCCGGATTGTCCGGGTGAATCCTGGACAGGTGGCAACCCTAGTCCCTGCTTGGACGCAGACAGGATCCATCCTGTCAGTGTACGAGTACAGACACCCACACCCGCACGGACGCGCAGTTGGGGTGAGCGTACGTCCGCGTACTCCCATAGAGAAGAACAGGCTGCTGCGTACAAATCACACGCAGCACCTGTACCTCCCGGGAGCGGCCCGATAAAGCCGTGCACGCAGCACGGAGCTGTATGGGCCGGCTGGTACTCGTGTGAATGAAGGCTTCATGATTCCAATGAACACTGAATATGGTTCTTTTTGCACCTGATATTTATAACGTTATTGTAACTGTGGCCATAGGAGGCATTGTACATCCGTAATGTGTTGTGTATGTTATTTTAATCATCTATGATTGATTTTATGTGACATTATGAAAAAAAATTGATGTTTTTATGCAATCTGAGGTGTCTAAGTGGATTGGTGCCTGAAAGCCCCGTTTGTCTGAGTACAAGATGTCCGTCAAAATAAATAAATCAATATACACCAGGAAGGGTCCCAAGAATAAGTGAACGTCTCACCATGGACAGCAGGAAGTGGCCGTCCCTCATCACCCCAGGACCGGGCGCACTGTATGTTACCAAATGGCTAATGTCGCCTATTGACTTTAATAATTCCATTATCCCAGTAAAAAGAATGAAGGATCGCCCCCACACACACACACAGACATTTTGCAGCAAGTTGGAAAGCGACGGCCCGACACACTCTTTATATCCTCCCTTAAGGTGGTTCTAAAGGTCTTAATCTTCTCCCAACTGCTGCACTTTTTATGAATTACAAATGGAAATAAATTCAAACAATGGAAAGAAACAAAAAAAAATGAAGTTCTGTTGCTAATCAAACAGGTAAAACTAAAAGTTCAGTCCACCCAGAACTGATATGTCAGTGTTGTTCCAATGCTAAAATCCCACCATTTCTGAGCTGAGTCTGTACACCTGCTGTGCCCAATATGAGGGGCTCCCACCATCCCTGAGCTGAGTTCCTGGGTCTGCACACCTGCTGTGACAATTATGAGGGGCTCCCACCATCCCTGAGCTCTCGGGTCTGTACACCTGCTGTGTTCATTATGAGGAGCTCCCACCTTCCCTGAGCTGAGCTACCGGGTCTGTACACCTGCTGTGGCAATTATGAGGGGCTCCCACCATCCCTGTGCTGAGTTCCCGGGTCTGTACACCTGCTGTGCCCATTATGAGGGGTTCCCACCATCCCTTGTGCTGAGTTCCCGGGTCTGTACCCCCGCTGTGCCCAATATGAGGGGATCCCACCATCCCTGAGCTGAGTTCCTGGGTCTGCACACCTGCTGTGCCAATTATGAGTGGCTCCCACCATCCCTGAGCTCACAGGTCTGTACACCTGCTGTGCCCATTATGAGGGGCTCCCACCATCCCTTGTGCTGAGTTCCCGGGTCTGTACCCCCGCTGTGCCCATTATGAGGGGCTCCCACCATCCCTTGTGCTGAGTTCCCGGGTCTGTACCCCCGCTGTGCCCATTATGAGGGGCTCCCACCATCCCTGTCCTGGATTCCCGGGTCTTTACACATTCAGGACCCATTATCAGAGGCTCCCTCCATCTCTGCTGGACTTTCTATCTATTTTATATGATCAGTTGGAACACCTGAATCCCCCAAGTGCACGGGAGCAAAGTGGAGAATGTTTGCAGGGAGATATTGAAACATAGAAGATATCTCACATACGTGGCAAACAAATAAAACTAAACTCCAGCTAACACTTCTAAGCAGTTACAGCAACATTTTGGGATAAACGTTTTACATTAATGAATAACAACCATTGCAAGCACCCCTGTCAGTGGTAAAGGGTTTTTCCCAACCCTCTATCTGTCACTTTTGTTGGCCAGCTTGGTCTGGTAAAGGAAGTTGAAAATAACAGACTTATTGGCAGGATCGACAGGTAATGAAGCTTTGTTAGAGAGAGGTTTAGAAAAAACAAAGCCCGCTGTGTTACTGCCGGTGACAGATTGCATCATATATGTCATTTTAGATTTTGCCTATAGATACACTTCAATGAACAAGCCTGTGTCTGAATTGATGGATGAGCCTATGCTTAGCATCCCAGTGAGAAGAGTGACATCTGTCCCCACCTGCATCATCCGGGTCCATCCTCAGTGTCAGCCTCGGCCGGGCAGGTCAGCGGGCAGGTCAGCGGGCAGGCGGTGGAATAATAATCTGCGCTGGTTTCTGCCAAGCCTTTCACCCGATCTCCTTCAGCGTTGAGGAATTTCCCTTAGTCTGACTGCTGCAGCAAACTCACTAACTCTAGAGACACTGTACTTCCTCTTTCAGATTACTACATAGCCTGACTCCGAGCCCCAATCACTGCCAGTGCACGTGAAACTGAAACTTATAACTCACTTCATTCTACATGCTATAGGAGGAATTTTGAAGACAATAAAATTCTCCCAGCAGTTTAGAAATTATTCATTAAAATAGCCCCCAACTGTCCTTGTTTTTGGGAACCAAATACCTCTTGCCCCTCTTTCCTTCATAGTTGTCCCTCTTTTAGGTCTGATTTATAGACCTCCATAAACACGTGTTACCTGACTACCAAACACTCATTTTTCATCCAGCCCCTAAATATTCACATTTGCAGGGATCCCAACCTGAAAAAAGCAATTTCAGGGAGGTGCCCTTCTCGTTTCAGGGAGGTGCCCTCTGCACCCCCCTGGAATGATGGCAGATAGCACAGAAAGCAATAGCTTCCTTGCTATCGGCTGGTGATTGTTTTTAGTATTCTGACAGCTGCTGCTATCAGAATAAAAAAAAAAAAAAAAACAGCATAAAAATGAATAGCTAGATTGCTATTGGCTATTTCAATTTGCAATATCCAATAGCAAGCTGGCTATTGTACCCTCCAACTGCTGCTGTCAATCACTAGAAGAAGATCTGATGGAGAACTTCAGGTCCCCCTCTGCTGATTGACAGCAGCAGTGGGCGGGTGCAATAGCTAGTTTGCTATTGGCTATTGCAAAGTGAAATAGCCAATAGGAATGTAGCTATGCATTCCTATGCTGTTTGTTTGTTTTCTGACTGACGGCGGCCGGCAGCTCCGATGTCAGAAAAGAGAAAAAAAAACAGAACAGTTTACTCTGATCGATCGAGCAGAATAAACCTTTCCCGGAGGAAGTGTTTGAGCTGCTATCTAATAGCGGGAGACTCCGGGAGTGTCAGGGAGAGTTGGGATGTCTGCATTTGTTCATCTGAAAAGAGGTGGAAAAGATATCAAAGAAAAGTTTTTTTGTGTCTTATTAGGGAGATTGCCCTTCATATTCAGTGCCGTTAACACAACGGAAAGTGAACAGGAACCTCTCATAATGACACAGCAAGTCTGCTGACCTGGAAACCCTTTATAATGGGCACAGGAGTTGTGCAGATCCTGGAACTCAGCTCGGGGATAGGGGGAACTTCTAATAATACACACAGCAGGTGTGCAGACTTGGGAACTCAGTGAAGGGATGGTGGGAACCCCTCAAAATGAGCACAGCAGGTGCATAGACCTGGGAACTTGGTGCAGGGATAGTGGGAGCCCATCATAATCACCACAGCAGATGTACAGACCCAGGGATGCAGCCCAGGGATGGTGGCAGCTCCTCTTAATTGGCACATTAGGTGTGCAGACCCGGGAACTCAGCCCATGGATAGTGAAAACCCTTCACAATGGGCACAGCAGGTGTGCAGACCCAGGAACTCTGTTCAGAGATTTTGGGAACTCCTCATATTGGGCACATCAGGTGTGCAGACCTAGGAATTTAGCTCAAGGGCGGTGAAAAAAGGGTGGTATAAAGGGCACAGCAGGTGTGAAGACCTAGAAACTTAGCTCAGGGATATTGGGAACCCCTCATAATAGGCACAGCAGGTGTACAGACCAGGGAACTCCGCTCAGGGATGGTGGGAACCCCTCATAATGGGCACAGCAGGTGTACAGACCCGGGAACTCAGCTCAGGGATAGTGGGAACCCCTCATAATGGGCACAGCAGGTGTACAGACCCGGGAACTCAGCTCAGGGATAGTGGGAACCCCTCATAATGTGGGAACTTCTAATAATACACACAGCAGGTGTGCAGACTTGGGAACTCAGTGAAGGGATGGTGGGAACCCCTCAAAATGAGCACAGCAGGTGCATAGACCTGGGAACTTGGTGCAGGGATAGTGGGAGCCCATCATAATCACCACAGCAGATGTACAGACCCAGGGATGCAGCCCAGGGATGGTGGCAGCTCCTCTTAATTGGCACATTAGGTGTGCAGACCCGGGAACTCAGCCCATGGATAGTGAAAACCCTTCACAATGGGCACAGCAGGTGTGCAGACCCAGGAACTCTGTTCAGAGATTTTGGGAACTCCTCATATTGGGCACATCAGGTGTGCAGACCTAGGAATTTAGCTCAAGGGCGGTGAAAAAAGGGTGGTATAAAGGGCACAGCAGGTGTGAAGACCTAGAAACTTAGCTCAGGGATATTGGGAACCCCTCATAATAGGCACAGCAGGTGTACAGACCAGGGAACTCCGCTCAGGG